TAAACCAAAATGGCTTTTTTTTTTTTTTGGGTCCTTAAAATACCCTACATGTTTGTTACTTTAAAATTGTAACCTCGTATATATTCCTATTAGGAAAGGATTACTTTAAAAAAAGTTTTAATTTATTCAAATATTTAGGGAATTTTGTGAAACGAGTTTCAAAGGTTTTTTTGGCTCAAATTCTTGGTAAACTGTTTGTGTGTGTGTGTGTGTGTGTGTGTGTGTGTGTGTGTGTGTGTGTGTGTGTGTGTGTGTGTGTGTATGTGTGTGTAGGTGTAGGTGTAGGTGTGTGTTGGCAAAGGAGGTGTTTATGATAATAAACTGTTAAAACAATCAAGAATCATCATCATGATCATCACAGTTTACACAATACATGTAACGAAGGGATTTGAACCAAGTTAACTGATTCAAATAGAAAAAAAAGATGATTTTATTAACTGTTTAATATGTTTTTTTTTTTTTTTATTATTGTTTTAATAAAGTTTTTCAAAGAAATTGTGACGGGTTGTGATATAAAAGTTTCATGATCGAATTGGTCAGTGTAACAGTAGATCTTAGTTTAAATTTTTAAAAAAGTCTATAAAAATTTTGGTTGGTGAAAAAAGGTGAAAAAGACGAATCAGGCAAACCACTACTACAATCCAGAATCCTTTAAAGTTCGTAATAGATATACGGGAAAGGATCAGAATATCAATCGAGTTCGAATCATTCATTACCCGTTAATTCATTAACTGTTTTTTTTTTTTCTTTTCTTTCGTTCGTTCGTTCGTTCGTTCGTTCGTTCGTTCGTTCGTTCGTTGACTTGAGAAGTCTCTGATAGATATATAGATAGACCAATAGAACAAATAAGTTAAGCTCATTTTTCCCCAAAAGTCAAATAGATAAAAAAAGTGTAAGAAACCCTGGTTTTTGAAACATTCCAAGGTTTTTTTTTTTAAAGTTCATGTTAATCAATCATCATCATCATCATCATCATCATCATAATCAATTCTATAATAATTTAGAAATAACTCCGATAGAAAGTCCAAAAATCAAGATTTCAAGATTTCTTGAATTTGGGATTTTTTGATGAAAAAGTTTTTCTTTTGTTGTTGTTGTTGTTGTTGTTGTTGTTGTGAAGATAAACTTTTTTGAACTTTTCTATTCACACACTTACTTACTTACTTACTTGCCCCGCTTGCTTGTTCGCTCGCTTGGATAACTACTATATATCTACTGCGACTCTACCAAAAAATTTTCACATTTATCGGATAATAAACAGTGAGTGTCGGTTTGACAAGAAAAAGTCAAAAGAAGTAAAGTTTATTATGCTTCACACGATGTTGATCTTTTTTTTTTCGTTGTTGTTGTTGAATTTGTCACCTGTCGTGATTTTAAATTTGTGCAGTAGGAAAAAAAATATATATATACGATTGACAAAAAAAAAGAGAATGGACCAATTAGGATAAGCTTATTTTTCAAATAGCCATTAATCGACATTCGGGAATTAATGATTTGTATACTAGTTTAACCTGTTTCTTTCTTAATAAATGTCAAAATAAGTTTAAAAGAAATCATAGGTTTGTATAAAAAAGAAAGGGAACAGAATTTAGGAAAAAACTTGAAAGTTTCATAATAACTATAATTTCTTTTACATTATGAAAAATAGAGAAAAAGGGGGTAACATAGATTAGATTTTTAAAAATGATGGAATCTTTTTAAAGAAGAAAAAAACGATGATTTTTTTTATTAAAGTGAATGTACTTAAATGTATAGATTTGAAATTAATTTTCAAAAAATGCCATATGGAATGAAGAACCATATGCATAATGATAATGATAATGATAATGATAATGATAATAATCATCTGATGATTACGGAAAAAAAAATATATATATATATTTGAAAAAAATATTCTCACGCAAAAAAAGAAAGAAGAATCAGGTTTATTTTTTATTTTTTGTTCTATAATTTTCTCATGCACATTTTGTTTTCTATAAATTCTAAAAAATTTTGAGTTTTTTTTTTTTTTTTTTTAAATTTCTTTTTTCATCCCCAAATAGTGCAACATGAAATAAAATAACGTAACATGAAAAAATAACGTGTAACATGAAAATAACATGTAACATAAAAATAACATGTAACATGCACAAAAATATTATATCTTTTTTACAAAGATATATACCATCATCATCATCATCATCATCATCATCATCATAATCATAAAGTTTTATCCCTTGTTATTAGACGGAAAAATTTATAATTCACATTTACTTTTTTTTTTTACACCCAGTTTCCAAAAGCATATATTCTTCAAAAGACCTTTTTTCAAAAAAATTTTACCATATTTTTTAAAAAACCTTTATTATACATGTACTCAATCACGGTCATTTTTCTATCATGTAATTTTCTTTTATCATGCTCAAATTAAAAAAAATTATTATTATTTTAAACCTATTAGAATCAATTATCAAATAAAAGAGAAAAGAAATTAAGAGAAATAAAATAAATAAATAAATAAATAAAGATGCGTAATTTTCATCACTTTATTTTTACCTGATTTGGTATGGTAAGCCCAATATCACCACAAGGAAAAAAAGCTGGTCATTCCTCAAAAATGTTGTACTACACTAAAAATGATTATTCTCTTATCATCACTCTAAAACTTTTTTAAACTCTGAACGAAACAAAATACCAGATTGTTCTTAAAAGAATAAAAATAATCAAAGAGTATCCTATTCTATCCTATTCTATTCTATTCTATTCTATTCTATTCTATTCTATTCTATTCTATTCTATCCTATTCTATCCTATCTCCTCTCCACCCACTGGGATACTTACTTGGATTGGAATATTTGTCTCGCCCCCCCCCTCCCAATAACAACAACAACAATTTAGGCGGTATAAAATTCTACCATTGATATCATGCAGGCTCAGAAAATGTTCTGGAAAATGTTGAATCTATAAAAGAATTTACTCTATCGGTAATAAAAGTCAAAAAAAACCCCCCGATTGTGAAAACTTCAATGAAATGATAAATCATAAATCATTAATCATAATATTTGGATATAGACAATCGAGTATTCTTGAATCAAGTTAATCATAGGAAAAAATATATCAATGGTATTGATAAAGCTTTTGCCAGGTAAGAATTCGGAGAATTGCACAAAATTGGGTGAACTGTTAAACCCATAAAGAATTTGGTAGAAAAAAAACATTTTTCAAAACCAAATGTTTATTTAATGCAATTGCATCGATCTACTGCTTCCCTGTGAACTTAATTTTGTTCAAATTGGTAAAGCTTCCCAAATACTAAAAACATGTGGTCATGATTGACAACCAGGAGATATGATATATAGTGTGGATACCTTGGAAACCTACCAGATTTCCTTAATGCTTCAAAATTTATATGAGATTTAATTAAGCTTTGGAATTTTGGTTTAGGTAATTCTTCAAGTTTTTGTTCCCTTTAAACACACGCTTTTTAATTTTCTAACTTTTCTTTCTTTCTTTCCTTTTAGTTATCTCAATTATCATCATCATCATCGAATTTGTCTAAATTCTATATCCATACGACATATGATCTACATAACCAAAAAAAAACATCAAATATGAATTTAACCATCTTTGGCATTAATGACAAGGATGATGGTTTTGAACCCTGAAATCATTATAATTTACAAAAACTTTTTTCAAAAGGATTTTCCGAAAAAAAAATTTTAACCCTTAAAAATCTTTTGACTATTTAACAAATTTCTTTGTCTTTAAAAATTTCCTCCGAATATCACTAATACTAATACTAATACTAATACAAATACTAATACTAATACTAATACTAATACTACACTACGTTATGATGATTTTCATTACATCATCATCATCATCATCATCATCATAATAATAATAATAATAATAATAATAATAATAATCATTATAATCATCGATCATAATACAAAAAGATTAGATTAAAAGAAACAAATTTCAAACATTACTTTGTACAATCCTTAAAGGGTGAAATAGTTAATAATAAACTTTTCTTTTTCATGAAAACCCTTGTTCAATTTACCAAAAAATATTTACATTTGTTATTCCCCCGATAAATAAGCGATTATACAAATAAATCTCGAAAAAAGATGTAAATATTAATTGTTTTTTATATTGAATATATATATATATATACATCAAAAGGATTTTTTTAAAAAAACTTTTTTATGTGGTATTTGAGTTTCGGACCTGTCATTTATTTATTTATTTATTTTTCTTCTTCCATATTTGACTTTTATTTTCTTCTCATAATAATTCTGATGTTGTTGTTATTGTTGTTATTGTTGTTGTTGCTAGAAAAAAAAATCAATATATATATATATATATATATCCAAAATTCTTTATAAATTTTCTAAATTTCCAATACAAATTTTTTGAATCGTGTAAACTTCTTTCCTCAAAGAGTAATCGTTTTTATTTTTATTTTTATTTTTATTTTTTTTTGGGAAAACATCTTTTGAATTACTGAAAATAAAAACTATTTGTCATCCAATTGATGTTTTTTTGTTAACCATGTTTCAGATCTGGTTCATGAGATCTGGTCTAATAAATTTTTTTTAATATTAGATCTTGAAAATATTAAAATAATAATAATAATAATAATAATAATAATAATAATAATAATAAAGTAGTACGTATTAGCAAAGAAGTGAAATCTGATGATGGTCAAAATGTCTTTGGATAAAATTAATTGTGAAAGAAATATTTTTCGGATTCATTAATCGACACGCTTCACATCACATCAAATCTCATCGCAAATATAGAGAGTCTTAAAGCCTGTTTCTCAATTTTAAAGGAAATGAAGGTTTTTATTACCACACGAAAAATTATCAAACCTGATCGATCAATTGTAATGGACGTAAAATGTCTTATGCTTTTACAAACTATCTCTTTTCCTTTACCCATCTTGATCACAGCTTCAAGATACAAAAATCTGTCACGACAACCCTCTTCGAATGGGTTTTAAGAAATATTATTGGAGGAGCTGGGGATTGAACCCAGGACCTTTTGCATGCAAAGCAAACGTGCTACCACTGCACCACACCCCCTTTTTACATATAGATTTTTACGCATTTTTTTTCATTTCTCATATATAACCAAACATGTTAAATTCGCATGCTTGTGATATTTTTAAATTCCCACGATAAATCATATGAAATTTTTTAATTTTTTTTCCAAATTGTGAAATAAGTTAAAATTATATATACACAATGTCAATAAAAAATTAAACAATGTTTAAATGTTGGGATCAAATCATTGACATCGTTTTAAATAAATTCAAATTGGATGGCCATCGAAATTATTTTTTTTTTAAAAAAAAAAAGTAAAACTTGAGTTACTCTCTACTTGAAATAATACGAGTTGATTTTTTCAAATATAAATATTTTTAATAATTTAATTCATGATTGAATTAAGTAATTAAACTAAATAATATTAACTATATAATATATTAATAATTATTATATATTAAAATAATTTATTATTTATTAATAACAGTTTTTATAGCCTTTTTGTTTTAACGTTATAATTTAAATAATTGAATAGTATAATTTTAAAAATACAAGATAAAAAAATATAAATTATTATTATTATTATTATTATTATTATTATTGAAAATTTAAAATATTTAATGAATTATTGCTATTATTTTTAAAACTATATTATTTAATATATATATACTTAAAATAAGTTAATAATACATTTATTAAAATATAATATATAATAATAATAATTTTTACCTTGTTTTTTTTTGTTTTATATTTTAAATTAATACTATATATATTGAATATTTTTTTATTGGTTTTAATTATTTTTACCAAATATTTTTTAAGTAATTTATATTGTAAATTACAATAATTTTAAAAAAAAACTAAATAAAAATTTTTTTTTCTATTTTTTCTACTTCTCATAATTTAAATTTAAATATTAAATTATAATTTGAATTATGTTTAAATAAAAGTTTTTTTTTATATTGTTTTTAAGATTAATAATTAAATTTGTTTTATTATTGTTATTATTATTGTTATTATTATTATTAAAATTAATACTTTGAAAAATTTACAATTAATAAAAAAAGTTTTTAATTGCAAACCTATTAAAATTTTTTATAAGTTTTTTATTATATTTGTTAATTTAATATTTTATGTTAAAGATATTATCTTTTTAATATTATATAATTTTGAATTTTTTGATATTATTATTAATAAAATATATAAATCTAAATTTGAATTGTTAAAATTAAAGTTACAAATTTAATTTAATTTATTAAAACAAACTTTAATTATAAATATTAATTTTTATTTTATTTTTTTAATTTAACTGTTAATTTGTTTAAAAACTTTAATTAATTTAAAAACAATTATAAAATTTATTTTTTAATTATTTATAATATAAATAATATATATTAATTATAATTTATTTTAATAAAATTTATACAAAATAATAAAATAAAATTTTATAAAAATGTTATAAATAAATAAATATATAAATATTTTTTATATGTAACAAGTAAGTTAAAATCAATTAAAAACACATTATATTAAAACTATAAAAGCAAACTTATTTAAAACAGTTATTTTATACATATTTATAACAAAATTATTATTATTATTAAAAACCAAATTAATTAACTATATAATAATTTTATTAGTATTTAATTTAATATTAAAAATTTGTATTTTCAAAATATTATTATTTTAGCAAAATTTTTCTGATTAATAAAAAAATTTAGATTATTATTTAATATATTATTATCAATTATATTATTTATATATTATTTTATTTTAAAATTAACAATTTTTTGTTTAAATTATTAATGTTTTTTTTGGAAAATACTAATATTTTTTTATTTTAATATTTAAAAATAAAAAAATTAATAAATCAATAAACTTAATAATAAACTTAATTAATAATATTATTTTAATCAATTTAAAACTAATTACAAAATTAATAATAATAACAATAACAAAATACAACTAAAATTATTTTTTAATTAAAAAAAATTATAATATTATTTTTATTATTAAAATTAATAAGCAAATAAAAGCAAATAAAAGCAATTTTAACAATTTTAAAATACATAAATATTATTTACAATAATTTTAAAAAAAAGTTATATAAAATAATAATAATAAAAACAAATAGTACAAAATTTTTGTAATTATAAAAATAAAATAAAATCAATAAACTATGTGGCTGGTCACGTGTAGATATTGCATGATTTACACCTAGTTTAGATTATTTGTATGATGTATTGCACTAGGCAGTGTTTGGACTTCGCTCGTTAAATGTTTAAAAAAAAAATAAACTAAACTTAATTAACAGTATTTTAAAAAATTTAAAATACAAATTTTATATAAAACAGCTTAATATTATTTTTAAAAATTAATTTATATTGTTATAGTTAAAATTTACAATTTTTATTAGTTATTACATATATTAATTACTAATATTACATATATAGCTATCTTATTTTTAGATTGTAATTATTAACTTGATCATTAATCTAATTATTAACCTAATTATTAATTTAATTATTAACTTGATTATTAATTTAATTAATAACTTGATTATTAATTTAATTATTAACTACTTTTAATAATTATATAAATAATAAGTTCCTTATTTGTAAAAAAACATACTCAAAATAACAAAATAAAATCCACTATTAATTATTTTTCTTATATTACTTATTTATTTTTTCTTATTTTTAAATATTTGAACATCTTGAAATAAAAGATTACTTCTTAGTATTTACATACTTTATTTTTTCTCTTTCTTAATTTGTATTGTTAAAATTAATCTAAAAAATAATTGTTTGTTTTTGTGATTTATTAAATAAAAAAAACCAATTAAAAAACATAATAATATCTGTTATTAATTTTAAGAATTATTAAATAAAACATAAAATAATAGCAGTAGTATTATCTTATTAACAATCACAAACTATTTCTTTATTTTTAAATTTCTAAAAAAGATTAATAACAGTAATTTTTATAAGATTGATTATACACATTGAATTTATATATATTTAATTTACTCTCTTATTATAATTTTTTTTTAATTATTTTTATTATCTTACAATTTTGTTTTTTCTTGCTATTTATTAGTTTGTTACTTCAATCTGTAACATAAAAGTAATACTTTTTGTGAAGTTGTTAAAATTTATTTATTTTTTATTGTATAGATAATTATTTATATTTGTTATAACAATTAGAAAAATACTTTATAGTATACAACAAAACCAATTTAAATTTTATTAAATTCAACTTTTTGTCTTTCTGTTTGATTTGTTTTCTTATTAAAAAACAATTTAGTAAACAATTTCAAGACTTTTAAAACTAGTTCTTAAATAAACATTTAGTTAAAATCTATATAGTATATACAACTTAATTTTTTAATCAAACTTACTTTAAAGACTTTTTTAAAAAAAAAAACAATAATATTAATCAGTTTCTATATTTTACAAATTTTGAACAACAGTCCTCTAATTTCGAATATTTAAATTATTAAATTCATATCTGAATTGCTGTTTATTAATTAACTGAAATTTTTTTTAAATTAGAAAAAAAAAGCTATTAAACTACTTATGTTTTTAATTTTTTTTCAAATAAATTAAATTTTTTTACATAAACAGTTATTTTTAAATTAATAACTGTTAATTTCATACAAGTAAACATTTTGGCTGTTCTTCAAAATATACAAACTGCTTTAGAGCAAAGAAATAATATCTTATTATTATTATTCAGAGATAATATCTAAAATCTAATTAAATAATTAAACAATTTTAAAAAAACTGCTATTATCAATTAATATAATGCTAAATACAAATTCCAAATTATTAATGATTACTTTCAAGACTTTTTTGCTACTTGGTTTTTACAAAAAACCAATATTAATGTTTACCAAAAGATTATTAGATAGATATAAATTAATATTATAAAAAAAAATACTTTTTTTACTATTTAATTTAAAAACAAATTCAGAACTTTTATTTTTATTTTCAAATAATGTATAAAATTGGAAAAAAAAACTCAAGACTCTAGTAAAATAGTAATTAAATATATTAAAACAATAAGAAAACTCATTAAATAAATAAACTTTAAAAAAAATTAAACAAAAAAGCAGAAAATATTATTTTTTATAAAAAAATAGAAAACTGATTTATTTTATGATTTTTGGTTTCTTTTGGCTTTAAAAAATAATTTAACAATAAATATAGTCATTAAACTTGTATAAAAAATTAAAAATAGCCAATATATATATTTGAAATTCACTTTTTTAGTTTTTGTTTTTGTTTTTGTCATGGTTCTTGCTTTTAAATAACTGCTATCTTCTTTGTTATTCAAACTTAAAACCCAAATGAACAGTTAATAGATAAATTATAATTAATCTTGTTTGATTATTAAAATCTTTAATACAAAAAATTAAAGATAATAAACAACTTTAAAGACTCAAATTTAAACACTAAATATTATGAATATATCTTATTAAGTTTATTTATAACAATGTAATTTTAATAAAAGCCATTTTAATTCTAAAAAAAGTATTAAATATTAAAATAATAATTATTTATTTAATAAATTTTTAATAATTAGTTTTTTAAATATTGTTAAAAACAATATTAAAAAACAAAAAAAAGTAATTAATTTAGTTTTTATTTGATTAATTTTTAAAATTAAATAATTTTTAAAATTAATTAAACAAAAATATATTCTTAAATATATTTTATTTTGCTTTTAAAATTAATATTAAAAATTAATTTTAAAATTATTAATTTTTTATAACTTAATACTTAAATTGGTTAATTTTTTAATTTAAAAGATTTTAATTTAAGAGTTTTTATTAAATAAAAATTCAATAATAATAGCAAATAATACTTAGTATTTGATTTTTTTGGCATAATAACCAGTTTATTCTGGTGTTTTTTACTTTTCTAATAAATAATTTTAGTTTTTTTAATTATATTTTACATTTTTTCTTGGTATTTTTTACCAAATAATCTTTAATTTATAATTTTAGCACTTTTTAATTAATTAATTAGTAAACA